GGTTAGGAGGGTAAAGGGCTCCTCTCAAAGGAGATGCCGACAGATGCACGGCTCCTCTCTGAGCTTCGGAACCTGCCAAAAGCATCGACTTTCCAGAGGAGACTTGACTCAACGACTCAGAGACCGTTAGTGCTCCTGAAACCAGTCGGATTGGGCGGCAGCGGGGACTGGCAACCTGCCCAGACGCAGCCCGAGGCAGGGGCAGGGCCCTGCTGCTCACCTGGGCCAGACTGGGGAGTTTCTGAGATGAAAACCTGTTGCCCTGAGCCGCTGCTTGTCTGAGCCCACCCCACACCTCCAGACCTGGCTTTACGCACAGGGTGGCACTGCCTCTGCCCCACTGCACCCTGTTCGACGTGGCCACGGCCCCACAGCAGCAGAGCAGCGCCCACGCCGTACCCGTTTCTCACACAGGCTGTAAAACAAGGCTTCCTTCTGCATCCCAAAGCCGACGTAGACCAGGGTACCGTGTTCCCAAGGGCAGAAAGCAGCCAGGCTGGGCGGAAGGCTGCCGAGATCCTGGTGAAGGAAACCAAAGGGGACAAAATTGAGGCTAAGGTTTTCCAGCCCAACCCAACACAGTGTGGGGACAAAAGGAGAGCACGGAGGGCTGCAGTGTCCGAGCAGCAGGAAATTAGTATGAGGGCGACTGTTTCCTCCCTCTTGCATTGCCACCTCGGACACGCTCACAGCAAAAGCAAGGAGCAGCCGCACACTGCCATGGAAACCTGAAGCAAATTGTTGACTGTCATAGGAGTGGGAGACATGAGGGTCTCCTGAGGCATTATTGCTATGTGGGCTTGGAGGTGGGATTGGGTTATGGATCGGTTTAACACAAGAAACCAGGGCCCAGAGGACAGATCTTCAGTAGTGGATGCAAGATCAATCCTCCTCCTGTTTGCTGTGTGGAGAGCTGTAGTGAGTCTCCTTCATGGAGAGGAAATCCATCGTTTTGGAAACAAAAGAAGAAATGTTGTCAGAACCCAACTGCTGTATGGGCCTGGATGGGGCTTGGCCCTAAGGATGGCTGGTTGAGGTGGGCCCCCAAAAAGAGCCAGCTCCCTTCTGCTCACCAATGTCATGTGTACCGGGGACCATCTCTACGTCCCTTCCAACACAGACCCTCCTCCCTTGGTAGCAGGTGCCCTGCTGCCCGAATCTAACACCTGGGTTGGAGCCAAAGGGTTCTGCAAAGTATCACAGGCACCCAGAGCTGGAGCACTTGGCTCAATGAACCCATCGCTGCGCTCCTGGCTCTTTCTTTGGCCCTGTCCCGCTCAGAGCCTTGAGGCACCCCTCCTCCAGCTCGGCTGGTGCCGAGACCCGTGCCATGGAGCAGGCAGGGGCTGGCAGTGCCACGCTCACCTCGGGGCCAGCAGGAGCCGGGAAGCTGAGCCAGTCAAGGAGCTCACACTTATCCTTCAGCCAGTCGGACGCCCAGACGCTGACTCGCCGGTCCGAGCTGGTGGCCAGCCAGAGTTCACCTCCTTCCACCCCAAAGTCGCGGTACTACAGAAGAGAAACGCAACGCTGTGACTCTGGCAGTGCAGAAGCTTTAGAGAAAACTGTCACTAGAGCTGGCGTGGGGCAGGAGCTCGTGGGAATCAACACCAGGATTAACCTCCCTTTTGGCAGTGCTTAAAGACACTTATCACAATAAAAGAGGACAGGAAGCCGTGGTACCGGAACCAGTGGCACGCTCTGGTCTGAAAGCCCCGGCAGAAGAGGCTGCTGGAGAAGGGGTGAGGGCCTGGCCTGAACGACACAGATCTCTTCCCCGGGACGTCCTCTGAATCTGCACATCTCCCAGGGGAGTGCTTGCAGATACCATGTGTCCCCTACAACGTCCTTCACCTAAACCCAAGGAGGATCTCCTAAGTCTACAATCAGCAGGGAACACAGCAGCACGGGTGATTTTAAAGCCTGAGAACTTAAACAAAATTATTCTCATTCCCACTGCGCAAAGGATAAAGACTCTCCATGAAGAGATGGACAAAGGTGATGCTAAAACCATCCCACTGCTGCACAACCAAGTCTCCATAGCTCCGCAGAGGAACCATACGGAGAGCCAGCTCCACGTGAGGCCAGGCTGCCAAGGAGCGAAGCGGGGAAAGCACGCTGAGCCCTTTCCCGGGGCTGAAAGCTCACGGCCCGGGTTGCTTCTCTCCCAGAGGTGTGGGCACACATCACATCTGCGTGCAGTGTGTCTACAACAGCCACCAAACGCCCCCCCGCCTGCAGGCACAGCCTCGCTCAGGCTTGTACCCGCAACGCCCGCGGCTTTACCCCGCCAAAGACATCCCTCGAAAAACTGAACGGAACTTACTGGAGGGGATGGGGGCCTGAAGAGGAAAGGTGAGGGACAACAGAGCAAACTTGTTGACCAACCTGGCCACGCTTCTGCTGCTTCCTACAGCTGTGGATTGACACATGGGGAACTCGCTCCCGCACAGCGCCAGGGCAGAGGGTGAGGGCTCACCTGCTTCCTGATGCACTGGAGAGCAGTGATGGGAGAGCCTTTGTGCTCAGCGAGGACACGGATAGTCATTCCAGTGCGAGGGCTGCTGACAGCCACGAGCCCGTCTTTGCCCCCCGATAAGATCATTTCTCCTGTGAGCAGAGGAGAGAAAAGAACAGGGCACTTCTTGTAGGAGAAGAAAAAGCCCATAGCTGAAAGGTCCAAGGTCATGGGATACTGGTGTCCCAAAACACTGTGAAAGGCTGGGAACATCTGAGTCAAGGGCTGGGAAAGATGAGACACCCACTAAAACATCACACTAAAGAAGAGCCACTGCGGATGGTAAGCAGGAGGACACAAAGGAACGCTTCTTGTACCCAAACCCCTTTGCTATACCATTGCCAATATAGCACCGGTGTCCCGTTTACCACATGCTCAGCTGGCAGAGCTACCAAAACTCATCGATATAAGTTCTCCAGCTCTCCTTGGCCCCAGGTTTTTGGGCAGGCCACCAGTACATGGAACGGCTGGAGGTCATGGTAACCCAGGCACAACCAAGTCATGATCCCCAAGGCAACATCTCCCCACTCTTACAACAGGCAGCCTCACCGTCTGTGGAGTAGGCAATTGCTGTCAGTGCAACGGCATGGGGATGCATTTTCAGCTCCATCTCTGTCCTGGAAATGCTGAACACACGGATGGTGCCATCGCTGTACCCTGCCACTACATGCTGGCTCTCAGCTCCCCACGTGACGACGGGACGAGGCTTCCAGGCCAGGCACTGGCAGCTCTGCAAAGGAACCAGGGCAGAGACCCAACGACACAGTGAAGACAGCAAGCGCACCGAAAGCTCCACCTGCGAGTACTTCTCCAACTTTAGTCTGCTCCGCGAGGACAAAGCAGTCCTTGCAATCCCAAGCAGTGGACTGTGCCCTCTACCAAGAAGAAGAGATCGACGTACCACAAACAATTACCTGGTTGAGCACCTGGAACTGTACCACCAGCTCCATGCTGCCCAGAGACCAAACCCTCACGCTGCCGTCTTCCCCGCACGTTACGCAGTGAGTCTCGTCAGGACTGAAGCTCACTTCGGTCACCTGCAGCGAGAACGGAGATGGAGAACAGGGGCCCTACAAATGCCGCAGCCTAGGGGACATCGGCTCCTCTGCCCTCTCATCCCCCAGGACCCCTCTCATGGGAGACACCAGACAAGAAGCCCCAGACCTAAAGGAAGCTGGGGTGCTTTGTTTTTGTCCTTCAATCTTGGGCTGACAACTAGGCTTGTCATGGAAACCAGTAAACCTAACCCCAAAGCTAGGACCAGGCACTACGCAACGCAGCTGTAAGTAAAATACCTTCTTTTGCCATTTGAAGTCTTTTTTCTCTAGCACAAAGATACCCAAAAGCAACAGCGAAATTCAAAACAGTCATTCTTCATCCGGTTGTTTGTTTTTTTTTAATGTTTTAGGCAAAGAAAACGTTATCCAACATGGATGACCAGCTAGCAAACAGAAGGCAGGCAGAAGTCACAGCACTCCGTGATTGCGAACTGCGTTCTTCTGCTCCAGCAGAAGGTCCCACAAATGCTCCCAGACCCACGCTGTTAAACACCTAAAGCTAGAGCAGACAAGCTCAGATTTCTTGATGTTGGACTCCTCAAGGTGCACATTTCTCTCTAGACTCCTCCATGTCATCCCAACAGCACTAACGAGCCCTACAGCTCCTTGACCTCTCCCGTGGCCAGACCAGGGAACGCTTCTGCAGCCCGCACACGCTTCCCAGGGCATGGACAGCACACCCAGCACCCGCTGCTCTGTGGGACAAACCACCCCAGCCCAGCCCCTCTAACCTTGTTCTTGTGGCCGCTGATGAGTCGGATGCTTGTGCTCTCCGGCCAGTTGATGTACCACAGCGTCCCTGCCGTGGTGCCCACAATTCCCATTTCTAGAGAGTCATCAAAGGCCGCACTGACTATCGTCCCGTCGAGGGCGATCTCATGTTCTAGCAGGACTGAGCTAGACCTGGAGGAAAGGAGGATGCGTGAAAGACTGGCTCAACTGTTGGAACAGCCACTCTGCCTCCTTTAAATGCAATTTTCTAGTGAGTCCAGTCACGTATTTGCAGCTAAACGGTTTGATGAGGGGCTCCTGTACATTGAACAGTGACTACCGTTGTATTTACACTGCAACCATCTTTTATAGGAAAAAAGGAAAACAGGGCATGCAATAGTGCAAGTGAGGAAACAAAGGCAATATATTTTCCCTAATTCTCTCAAAGAAGCTCCTACAAATCACCAAAACGAGCTTCAGGCATGATAAACTCCACCCATTTCCAGTATTAAGAGGGTTCAGCTACCTGTGGCAAAAATTCAGCGAAAAGATCCAGACAGAAAGAATCAGTAGTCACGGGACAGAGAGGGAAAGCTAAGGATGAAGAGCAACAGGAGCAGCGTGGTTGCAGGCAGAACCGATGTCCATGAAAAGCCACCTCTCAGACAAGTCCCGGGAGCTGCCAGACGAGGGGAAAAGCATCTCAAGAGCACAGAGTGTTCTCGGACGGCGCGAGCACAGCGGAGATGTCCATGAAAAGCCACCTCTCAGACAAGTCCCTGGAGCTGCCAGATGAGGGGAAGAGCATCTCAAGAGCACAGAGTGTTCTCGGGACGGCGCGAGCACAGCGGAGACGCCGGGGCCACGACGTCCTACCTGGCGTCGGGACCTTTCAGCCTCAGCTCCTGCACGGCGGCCACTGCCCCCCGGGGGGTGTTGTGTTGCTGCCGCTCACCAGCCTGTTGCGCCGACACACCAGCACACCTGGGAACCAAGGGCACCCATGAATATCCACCACTCTGGGCCATCACCCAAGGTGTGCTCCTGACAGCCAGGCCACTGATTCACTGGGGCAGGGCAGCGGGGGTCTCCTACAGCCCAACACCCAGCGTTTTTACAGACTAGAGGGAACCCAGGTCACGGATCTGTTGCCACCCCACACATCTGGCACCAGCAAACTGGTTTTCTGAGCACAGCTGAAATCAGAAGCCTGCAAGCTCATTGCTGTTCTTTCTTAATGAGTTCCCGTGGAATTTCCTAGAGCCCTGACAGGCAGCCGGGGCATCTGCACCCACCGATCTCACCCTCGTCGGCCTCCCACGTCATTAAGCAGCGATTAGTCTCGGTGTCCCACACGCAGATCTGGCCTGAGTTGGTCCCACTATAAAGAAGAGCGTTGGCACCGTAACAGAGAGAGGTCAGCTCCACTGGCCCTAGCACCTCCGGGGCAGGGGCCTGATGAACCTGCCAGAGCACGTAAAACAAACGTCAGAGAGAACATGGTGCTCACTTATGCTAAAAAAAACCCCAAACCAACCCCAACCCCTCATCCTTCCCTCAATTAATGCAGTTCAGGCCTCAAATACATCTGAGAGCCACTCAGGGCCAGCCAACATGACCTCACTAAATCACCAGCTCTCACAGACTCACCAGGGGCTTGGAAAAGGAGTCAGAGATGCCGAACACGTATTTTAAAAGAAGGTAAAACTGAGGTTTACCTTGAGGTTGACATCAGCTCCCTGCTCCTCCAACAGCCAAAACGTCAGGGCTCCCTTCCCCACGCAGGCCAGTTCTCTGTGAGAAACAGGACTAAAAGCCACGTCATGGACCGGCTCCGAGAGACAAGTCGACGACAGGAGTTCGTACGTGTAGGTGTTCCACAGAGCGACGGTCCGATCGCTGTAGTCCCCTGGGTAGAACATGGAAGACAGCAGGAGGAAAGTCTGCAGCCTCAGCGTTTCTTCAGGATGCTCGCAAGCACACGCGCTGCACGCACGCGTCAACGCTGTCACTCCCTTGTCTGGTTGTTCGGAGACAACCGTTGCAAACACCATCCCAGTCACAGACACGGCTCCTTGCGTGCTCAGCAAAAGCTGCACGACATGGTGGGTCCTCACCCGAGCTGAGGACAGAAGTAACTGGCCCCACGTTTCGTGCTGGAGGTTGTGGCAGATCTGGCCCTGCCGCGGGGTCTGCAGCCGGCGTTCGAAGCGGCCGATGGCTGGCGTGGCAGGGATTTCAGCAGGCAGAGCAGGTTTTCTGCTCTTTCTACATCCTTAGGAGCTACTGGACACCTCAATGCATGCCCCACATAAGCCCAGCAGTGATAGAATCACAGAACCACAGAACGGTTTGGATTGGAAGGGACCTCAAAGATCATCTAGTTCCAACCCCTCTCCCATGGGCAGGGACACCTTCCACTAGACCAGACTGCTCAAAGCCTCATACAGGGCGGGGAACACTGCCAGGGATGGGGCAGCCACAGCTTCTCTGGGCAACCTGTGCCAGTGCCTCACCACCCTCAATGTAAGGAATTTCTTTCTTATATCTAACCTAAATCTGCCCTCTTTCAGTTCAAAGCCATTGCCCCTCGTCCTGTCACTACACACCCTTGTAAAAAGCCCCTCTCCAGCTTTCCTGTAGCCCCCTTTAAGTACTGGAAAGCTGCTATAAGATCACCCCGGAGCCTTCTCTTCTCCAGGCTGAACAGCCCCAACTCTCTCAGCCTGTCTCCATAGCAGAGGTGCTCCAGCCCTCGGATCATCTTCGTGGCCTCCTCTGGACTCGCTACTGTGCGCTCTGGGCTAACAACAGTCTTGAAATAAGAAAGGGATGTTGCCTTTGCCGAGGTCAAAGCTGAGACAGGAGCTCATCTTAATGGAAGCCACCATATCTGAGCGGCAGCAGAAGGCACCGGTCTCAGTGATGGCAAAACATCCTCAGCTCCCCGACAGCTCCGGAGGACAGTGCTCTCCTGCTGCCTTTTCCAGGCTCCACAAGCTCAGTGGAGACTTTCTGCTTTTCCCTTCTCTGCCGCCCAGACCGGAACAGGAGGAGGAGGTGGGCTCCTCTCCCATGCTGCTCCATGGAGAGCACAAAGCTCTCTTCCTCTCCAGCAAAGCTTGCTTTTTTCCAAGGGCAGACTCAGCAGCCCAGAGAGGGTGTGTTGGCTGCTCCACAGGTCCTCTCTTGTGCAAAACAAGAACTTACTAATTGCATATTTGTCCTTTAAATGTCCCCTGCCTAAACAAAACAGACAGCTTGAGCGTCCATCGTGTGCTGGCATCGCTGCCTGGCAGGAGGCTCACAGTTTGAAGCCTGGCTACTTCTCTGCAATTCCACCTAAGCAGCAATAAGAAGTCCAGAAGAAGGTTTTTCCCTTTGGGTACTATATATAGTAACTGCAAATGATGTACACGGGCTTAACAAGTGCTAGTGAGCCAGGAGAAGGAAGCTGTAACTTTGATAAAAACAAGCTAGCTGCGGCAATAAGAAAGAACTGAAGGGGAGCTGAGGGGAACCACAGCGTGAGCGAGATGCACAGGGTGTGTGCTTCCCCTCGAAGTGCTGCCCACAGCGCCCTAGAAGCACGCTGAGCTGCAAAGATTACCTCTGCAGGCAGTCACTCCCAGGAGGACCAGAGATCCCTGGCAGTTTTACGTGCTGTACTATCCATTGTCCCAAGGCTACCAAGCAACAGCCTCATACTCACAAGCCTGGCACGTATCTCACAGGTCTTGCACACCTACAGCATCCTCCTCCCACGAGCTGTCTACTCTGGGGTGTACTCCTGCGCCCACTCCTGGTGTTCCAGCTGTACTCACCGAGAGTGACAAGGAATCTATCATCCCGAGAGAATGCCATGGCTTGTACTTGTGTCTTGTGATGGAAGAGACTTGCTGTGCAAAGCCCATCCTGGACATTCCAGATGCAGATCTGACAATGGGAGTCTCCATTCCTCTTTCCTGAGGCAGAGGCAAGAACCTAAGAGGACAATATACGTTGTCACTGAGACCTTGGTAAGTAATTAGAGAACACTTCCTTAGGTAGGTAGTCTTAGCAACTATTACCCTCAAATTAAAGTGATGTGGTTGGCGAAAATTCTGTGAGAACAACCATCAGCTGATGGCAGGAGGGAACGGTAGCATCACCCAGAGGAAGGGAGCAGCCTTTCCCATCACACTGAGCCAGCACAGCGGATAGCTGGGCTCCAGAACCATTTACTGCATTTCCAAAACCCCAGGTCTCCAAGCAGCAGGCAGAAGAAGGATTTTACAAACGGGATTTTGGTCTGTGACATTCCTTTAGCCCAAAGCGACGCAGACAAAACCCAGCCCAGGGCAGCAGAAGCCTCTCCTACCTGGGCGTCGTGGCTGACGGCAAGCGTAGAGATCTCCTCCGCGTGGCCAAGCCAGTGATTCTGTGATCCCGAGTGCAGGTCTTCAACCACGATGACGCAGCCACAGGTGTAGGCGAAGAAGCCTAGCAGAGACGGAGATGGGATGTTTTCATGTAAAGGCTTCCTGTACAGCACCCACTACAACCTACACCGCAATTCAGGAAAATTTGGTGGGTTTTTTTCTGGTAAAATGTAAAAGCTGACTCTTCTATGCAGCCTGCCAGCGTTCTTCTCATCAAGTTGAGAGCGGAGTAGAACCTCACCTGCCCTAACCTGAGCAAAGCAAAGTGGCTGGGCATCGCTCCAGCCTGGAGAAAGGAGGCAGGATGGCCTTGTGAGAGCTTTCCCTTCTGCTCTGTTGCCTGAGTCTGCCCGTATCAACTAACGTTTCCCAACAGCAAAGAAGAAGGGTTACTGGATTTTACCATCACAAAGAACCCCTATGTTAAAGCAGAGATCCCAAGCTGACAGCTAGAAGACCATAACTTGGCTCAGTACACAAACCTCCCGCCCCTCCAGAGCCTTCCCGGCGTACCTGTGTCCGGGTTCCACACCATATTCCCTCTGCCGTTCCCGTTATAGCCAATCACCGCTTTCAGCTTCAAGACCTCACTGCCAGCTGGAGGAGATACGAAACTCTACAAGGAAAACAGACACTGGTTTAAAATGAGCTCCAGAAGGATGGCTGGGTCAGGTACCTTCAACACCCACGTAAGAACTCACGCACACAACACACACCTCATGCCAATACTCACACAATGCAACACATCAACGGATGAACACCAAAGTGCACACTTACACAGACAAAAGAGAAACTGTGCCAGCAAAACCAGGCACAGATTCAGATGGGGCACAAAACAGGCTGGCACCAACTGCCCAGCCGACGAGCAGCTTCTAATCCCGCTGGGAAAGAGTTCAATGGGTTTTGCTGACTCGGGGACGTCGACGTTTCAACAGGACAGTGGTGGTGGGGAAGCGCTACCAGGTGGAGGGGCGGAGGAGAGAATTGAATGTATTTTCTCTCCCAGCACAGCTTAGGAAAAGGTTGAGTTAAGTTTGAGGTTTATTGTTGCTCTGTTTGTTAGCAGAGCGAGAGCTGCGCCTCGACTGCCTTCACTCGGCTCGGTGATCGCCTTCCCCAGCCTGCTCTGCCAACGCATCTGCTCGCAAACGCGGGCGCACGATGAATCACTCCATTGCCCGCTCGTCTCTCACTCGCAATAGCACATGCCATTTCCATTTCTTTTGAATAAAAATGTATGCAGATTGGCTGAACGGAAAAAAAAAAGAGTTGATCACCACTCACTTTTTACTAGTCGGGAAAGAGCTGCATGTAGAGAAGAGAGGAGGACTAACGTTAAAGGTTTCTAATTGAACACCAGGCCCGGGGGTATATTTCAGAAATCGCTTTCAAGCAGAGAAGAAAACAGAAACAATTGGGAAAACCCACCTACCCCAGCCCCAAAACACCTGTTTGCCACCTGCCCAGGTAACCAGCTCTGGCACAACTCTCACCTGGGGGAGCACCGATGCCTTGAAGCGAGGAGTGAAATGCCGGTAGGAATCTGGGCGTACGGAGCATTGGGACTTGGGACTTTTGGTCTCCTTTCTGGGTTCTGCCACACAAAGAAGAAGACAGTATCTATGGGATGCTGCTCCTGGGAATGATTTGGGAGCAGCAGCCAGGCACGGTTTTGTGCTGAAGCTTTCTAACAAGTCCTGCCTGGGGCTGAGCGCTGGCAGCTGCCCGCTCCTGGCAGCTCGCCACAAACTGCTGCAGCTTTGAGGCTCTGCGTCTATTAATAGAGACATTGGGAGCTTTAATTGCAGCTGGGTTTAATAGAACGTGCCACTTAGAAATGATATTGGCTCCAAGCTGAAGAGGGG